TCCGCCGCCCCCTGTTGATTCATCACAGGGGTGCCTGGCGTGCTACACCCTTTCGCTTTTGGATTTGGTTCCTTTCCCAAAAGAAATCCGACTGGGGCTTCGGCCCTTCCCGCCGGCCACCCGAAAGGCCCAGAAACGACCTCAACGTCCCCAAAAAATCCTCGAAGACGGCTCAAGATGGCCTCTAAGATGGACACGTTGGCCCAAGATGGCCTCCAAGATGGCCAAGATGGCCTGCAAGTCCCCCCGAGATGGTCGAAGATGTCCCCAAGACGGCCCAAGAGAGCACAAGATGCCTTCAAGTTCGTCGAAGAAGCCTCCAAGACGGCCCAAGATGGCTCTAAGTTGGCGTAAGACTGCCCAAGGGGGCCCCAAGAGGCCTCCAAGAGCTCCACCAGAAGGCCCGAAGAGGCCAAAATCATTAATATTCCTTAGGTTGTTTACGGATTTGGGCATTTTCTTCTTTTCAGCTCCCCGACGGCCCAAGACGGCCCAAGAGGCCCCCAACATGGCCCCAAGAGCTCCCAAGAGGCCGCCAAGAGGCCTGCAAGACGGCCCAAGGGGCCTCCAAGAGGTCCTCCACGAGAGCCCGAAGAGGTCAAATCAATGTTGTCCTTGGGTTTTTGACGGATTTGGGCATTTTTTTCTTTTCGGCTCTCCGACGGCCCAAGACGACCCAAGAGGCCCCCAACATGGCCCCAAGAGCGCCCGAAAGGCCTCCAAGATGGCCCCATGACAGGCCAAGAGGCCCCCAAGAGGACCCCAGCAAGACCCCAAGACGGCCCAAGAGCCCCCCAAGACGCCCAAGATGGCCTCCAAGACGGCCAAGAAGGCCTCCAAGACGGCGAAGATGGCCCCAGGATGCACCCAAGACGGCCCCAGATGGCCTCAAGATGGCCTTAGGCTGCCCAAAAGGCCCGCCAGAGGCCTCCAAGACGGCCCAAGACCCCTCCAAGACGTCCTCCAGGAGGCCAGAAAGCTCAGAGACCACCTGGTCCGATAGCTCGCCCGACTCCGTGTTCCCCGAAGGCTTTCGAAACCCAGTCGGGGAACGCATGACCCAACTTTCGGCCACGCAGGCGCTTCCAAAAAGGCAGGGGGCGGCGGTGATTCGCCGTAGGCGTCTTCGTGAACGCCAACGTCTCAATACGCGCTGATGATTCCGATCCGCCCCCGCATGATGTTCCCAGATGCGCCACGGCAGCGCCGAGACGCACCGACGCGAGTCTGATAGATCCCGTGATGATGGGGAGGGGGCCGGCGGCAGGGGGCGAAACCCTTACTGGTTACCTTTCATAATCCCACAATGGCTTTTCTGGTAATGCAACGTCCGTGCCTGATGTTGTGGATGTTTGTGGTGCTGGACAGGATTCTGGAATTGAAGAAAATAATTGGCCTACAGACACCTGGGGGGATGGATTCTTACCAACAGAGAGCTGGGGTTGGAAAGGATTTGGAGTTGGGAAGGGCTTCACACGAAGAGCGCCGGAGTTGGAAGGATTTCTCCCGATGCCTGGGAAGGACACTCTGATATGGGCTGTCAGAAGGTCTTACAGAGTTAGAAGGCGGTGGTGATGTCTTCGTGGATGGGAGCTGTCTTTGGAATGCGGTTCCTGACTTGTCTCGGACCAGGTGGGCCTATGTAGTGCATGGTGCACCATTCCCACAGCGCAAACACCCAGAGCCATATCCTTGCCAGTGCGCCCAGGCAACAGGCGGTGCACGTGCAAGAAAGGCGGGGCGGCAGTGGCAGGGGCGGCGGCGATGGCACTCGGTCGACCATCTTCGGGCCTTCACACCACGCGCGCGACAGGAGAAGAGACTCACGCGCAAGACGCGATGCGCCCCGCCCTGATCGGTCATGCTAGCCGTCCCTTCACCAGCCCGCCCCCCCACGCCCGCCAGGCCGCGCAGTTCTGCAGGCTGCCTGCCGCGCGCCAAGTGGCCCTCCCTGGAAGCAGCGGGCCCACGGACCGTTCGAACGTTCTCAGGCAGTTCGCCATGGCCCCCCGAAGAGTAACTCTCGCATAAGAAGCTTAACGCAAGATGCTTCTGATTTCTTCAGCCCACCCATTGGACTGGTGAAAGCTCACGTGAGGGAGAATCCTCACTTAAGCCCTCAAGAAGTGAGACGACACTGCTGATGGCTTGGCAAGGGGGGGTCGCCAGGAGGCACCCCAGCCCGTCGCCTTGGTAGCAGGTGTTCGATCGGCAGTTCTTCATAGCCAAAACCATGGACAAAAAACAAGAACATAAGCATTCGAACTCGGAGGTCCGCGCGGATTCCTCAGATCGGCGCTGGGGCCCCCTGGTGGCGCCTCCGGCACCGCCCCGAGCGCGCTCCACGCGCCAAGGAGGGGGGTGCGGCGCCGATGCGACAAATCCGCACGGAGCTCCGAGTTGTTTTGTTTCTGCTACTGTTCGTTGCCCCTAAGCTCGCCCGTGCTCTGGCCGCCCATCTCCTGTCGTGCTGGCCGCGGCTGGACCTTTCCCTCGCATCCTTTTCGAAGCGGCCCGCGGCAGGCCGAGGTTTTTGTTACTGTTCGTGCCCCTGAGCTCGCCCGTGCTCTGGCCGCCCATCTCCCGTCGTTCTGGCCGCGGCTGGACCTCTTCTCTCGCAGCCTCTTCGAAGCGGCCCGCGGCAGGCCGAGCGGAGCCGCGCGGGCACGCCTGGGTCCCGCCCTGCCCCCTCCCCAGCAGTTTGAGGCGTGCACCCTGCGAAATGCTTAAGAAATCATGGGTTCAGAAATTCATAGTCTCAGAATTTGAATAAAAAAACAAAAATTTCTACTAAAAAGTTAGGTTTCCCATAGAAACAATAAGAATAAGCGAGACTCTGGCCGAAACCTTACGTTTTCTTAGGGTGTGGCTCTGCGGCAGCGGGTTCGGGAAGGCAGGCCTCTCGCGGGAGCCTGCCGCCGTGGTCCCGGGGTCGGGCGTGGAGGCTTCGGCGTTGCCGCCCTCGCAGCGCTGGGGCACGGCTGGGGAAGCGAACTCTATATATATATATATATATATATATACATATCGACGTTTTTTTTCCGACCCTGCGCTGAAGTTCGCACAGGAACGCGGATCCCGGCGTGTACGGGATCCTGGTGTAATTATGCATTTGTCGCTGTTCCCCTTGGAGAACGGGGGGAAAGTGTACACCACACCACCCCGACGTCGCCCCCGACCCTCCAGGAGTCCTGGGCCTGAGGAACGGCCCGCCACGGGTAGTGTACATGTCCCAGTTCCCGAACGATGTGCTCCATCTCGACGCCAACGACAGCAGCGTCGTGCTGCAGCGTACCACGGTCGGCAGCTTCTGCACAGCACGCCGCGGCGGCGGCCCCATGCGGCACGGCTCTGCCCCGCGAGCGGCTGGCGCGTCGCTCCTCTCCGAGGGGCGGGAGGCCGAGGGAGGCTCCGGGCGGTGACGCCCGGGGACCGGTAGGGGTCCACATGCGAACCCTACCCCTAACCCCCACGATTTCAGAGGGGGGGGGGGTGGGGTTCACTTCGTTCGGGAACTCCCGAGCAAAGTGAACCCCACCCTCCCCCTCGGAAATCGTGGGGGGTACGGGCAGGGTTCGCATGTGGACCCCTGACTGGGACACGGCGTATCGCGGCGAAGCGTGGTGGGCCAGAACCGGTATCGTCCTGCTGCTTCAGGATGGAGGCACTGCTCGGGGTCTCCCTTCTCTCGAGACCCAGAACTGGCGGTCCCATTCCGGGCAGTCACCTTTGCTGGCCCCATATCTGGGTCATGCTGTGCACGAGGTCACTGCGTGGTGGCCCTGGCCTGGCACGGTGGTGGTGTATAGACGCCTTCGTCGGACGGTATCATCCTGCTGTTTCAGGATTGAGGCACTGCTTGGGGCCTCCCTTCTCTTGAGACCCAGAACTGGTGGCTCCATTCCGGGCCATGCTGTGCACGAGGACCCTGCGTGGTCCGCCACACCTGGGCTGCGTATTACACGGCGTCCTCGCGTGGGGCAGGCTCTGCGTGTGGTACGGCGAAGCAGGAGAGGCCCTCGCCTCGCCCTGCTTCCGACGGCCGTCGACCCTCCTTCGAAGATGCCTTGCCCTCTACCTCCCCGTGTCGTGGGAAGCTGATTGCCAGTGTTCAACAAACCCTCCTCCTCTCCTCCTCCTCCTCCCCCATCTCCCTCCTTGCATGTTCTCCTCATGATCATCATCCTCCTCCTCCTCCTCCTCCTCCTCCTCCTCCTCCTCCTCCTCCTCCTCCTCCTCCTCCTCCTCCTCCTACTCCCTCTCCTCCCTCCTCCTCTCCTTGTCACCATACTCCTTCTCATCCCTCCTTCCCTCCTCCTCCTCCTCCTCCTCCTCCTCCTCCTCGTCATCCTCCTTCTCCTCTTCCCCTCCTCTTCAAGGGAGGGGGGAAGGGCAGATGGATTGTGCGAGAGCTCCCCGCACCAGAGAGGAAACTGTATCAAAGGGAGGATGAGCCCCGGAGACCACACATACACAAGCCAAACACGATGTCAAGCCAGGTCCCTCAATCATGCTTCCTCTTCCTTCCTCCTCCTCTTCCTCCCGCCTTGGATCGAGAAGTCCTCCCTCCTCCTACTTTTCCTCCTGCCACCGACTTCCCCCCACTGGAACGAGATCCCCCGCCTGCCAATACCGTCGCCTCCTCCTCCTCTTCCTCCTCCTCCTCCTCCTTTTCGCTCTCTTACTCCTTCTCCTTCTCCTGCTGGATCGAGAAGATCCGCCCTCCCAAGGGAGGTCTCCAGACATCGTTGGAGCTCCAAGGGAACTCCCCGGAGATCTCCAGAGGGGTCGCCAGAGGCCTTCAGAGCCCTGCGGGCGCCAAGAGAAAGAAAGCGCATCCCAACCCTCGAACCTCGAACCTCGAACCTCCTCCTCCTCCTCCACCACCATCTCCTCCTCCTCCACCACCTCCTCCTCCTCCTCCTCCTCCTCCTCCTCCTCCTCCTCCTCCTCACCCGCCCTTCTCCGGCCCCCTGCCCGTTTTCACCCTGCCCCACGCGGCCCCAGGTGAGGTTCGACGCGAGGTCCGCCGCGCCAGAGTAAAGCTGCCCCTCGCGGGCGTCGTCGTCGTCGTCGTCGTCGTCGTCGTCGTCGTCGTCGTCGTCGCCGCAGCCGCGACTGCGGTTGCCGTCGCCGCCGCAGCCGCCGCCGCCATCGCCGGCGAAGATTGGGGTCGGTGATTCTGGACGTGCTCCGCCTCGCGGTTGGCAGGGTCTGCCGAGTAGAGCCCGCCGTCCTTCCTCCTGCCCTTCTTGAAGACATGGTTCTGGTACCTGCGCGATCGGTCGGCCGGCTCTGGCCGACCGTCGTGGCCCCGGGACACCTCCCCAGCGATCCCCAGGAAGGAGGCGGAGAATGAGGAGGTGCAGGAGGAGGAGGAGGAGGAGGAAGAGCAGTGGGTACTGATGGCTGGGAGATCTCTGAGGGCCGCCAAGTCTGGAGGATGTGTCGGGCGCGCGGCGGCCGCTCCCGAGCCTCCTTGGCGCTGTGCCCTCGACCCCTTCGCCGAGGCCGGCTTGTCACCCTGAGTCCAAGCTTTCTTGTGATGCTCCTGGAGCCCACAGCAACAGATAACCGCCTCGAGTTCTGGGGTGATGCCAAAGATCTGGCTTTCTTCTCGGCGGCGAGCCAGGGGGGAGGTGAGAAGGGGCGGGCCTTCCCAGAAGGCTCGGAAGTCCCTGGGTCTTCTGAGAAGTTTTCGAAGCCTTCCCCGAAAACACAGAAAACCTCTCTGAAGGCTCGAGGCCTTCAGAGAAGGCCCGCCGCCTTCTTAGAGGGCCTTTTCCTTCACAATTCCCCCCCTCGCTCGCCGCCGATTCGTCGCCCTGGAGTGCCGGGTGACGCCAACCTTGTTCATCGTGCCCAAGGCGGCGGACGCCCCCTGTGTGCCATGCAAGAAAATGGGGTCCTGAGGGGAAACGGGCAGGATCGACTTTGAGTGGTTTCTGAACGTTCCTCGGCCCCGTGAAGGGGCCCTGGGAGATCGAAGACGGCGCAAACCCTCAGGACCCTTCTCCCTCATAACCCATTTTCTCCATGGCGACCTCGACGCCCAGCAGGCTCATCGCCCGTCGGAGGCTTGGCTTGACCTCCGCAGAGGGCATCCGTACACAACCCAGCTGCCAGGCCAGGGCCACGCTGGGTGCCACGACGGCGTACTTACATGCCCTCTCTGGCAGCGGCCAGCCTGGCACATTCACATGCCCAGGCCGGGGCGGAGGCAAAAAACGGTTACCGATACCGCTCACTACCCCCCGAACCTCTCCTGGGACTGGTTCTGAGCAGAACTTTCAAGGAGAATGCAGCCGTGGCAACGAGGGACCTCCAGGACGCGAAGCGGTATCGGTATCTACGCCTCCTCTGAGCATCTGGGATGGCCCCGGCCAGGCACGGTGGGGGTGCACGGGCGCCACCTGCGCACGACCTCCGCTGGAGCTGGGGCCTCGGCGACCAGGCCCGCGTGGTGGCTCTGGATCTGGACGCCGGCGGCGGTCGCGGGCAGCAGGTGGAGCAGGGCCAGCGGCCGGACAGCGGCGACAACCATTGTTATCAGCGCGAAGCAAAGTGTACTGGCGGCGCGCACAAAGTCGGGCGTCGCCAACGACGTCCTCGACCCCAGGTGCCCCGGGATTTCTGGGGACGCCAAGACTGCCTCCGGAGCACCCCTCTCGAGGCCCAGAGGGCCCCAGCGAGGGGCGACGCAACGGGGGGAGTGGCGCCAGTGGGAGGCCATCGAGCTGGAATCGGCGGTACATCCCCTGTTCCGCCCGCACCTCTGCGAGGGCGGAACGGATGGAGGGCTGGCCGCGTTGGTAGACGGCGCCTCGCCACGTCGGAGCGCCAGCGGGGAGAGCGGGGGCGGGGGGCGAGGGGCCCCGGAGGGCGTGCGAAAAGGAAGCCTTCTAACAGAGGCTCGGGTTCTTCAAGAGAGCCGTGCTGCCCTCCAGCAGGGCTTCCCCGAGGGAACCCGGGGCCTCCGTATAGGGGAGCCTCTCCTCGCCCTGCCCCGCCTTGTGCGTGCCGGCACAGATGTATTAATGTAAACGCAGCCCTGTGAGGGGTCCAGTCCACGAGACGAGACGAGCCGAAACACGGCTGCGGATCCTTTCCCTCCGTGCCCTGCGCTCCCTGCCGCACGCGCAGAACATCCGAGAGGAAGCCACGCTGCTACAGAGCACATTTGCAGGAGCGGGGCAAAGGACTCACAGCACAACAAGCCCAGGGCGAGCACGACAAACAAGGCAAGCAAAGGTCAAACAGACCTTGCAAGGGTATCCGTTCGTCCCCCCTTCCTCCATACTTCTCCTCCATCCTCGCCCTTTTTCGTCTCCTATTCCTGATCGACCATGCTTATGTGACTGTGTTGAATGAATGAAACCCTTCAGAAAGAAACACCCTATATTTTTTCATATCCTCTGCTCCTACCTGTGCGGTCGATAACCTGAGATTGTCCCTTCCGGGGAAAAAATGAGTGCAGATGCAACGGAATGGAGACGCGACGCCCAAAACTTCGATCCCCCCACACTCTTTCATAGGTCTTAGCTCGTTCCTTCCTCCCTCCTCTTCCTGTTTCTCCTCTTCCTTCTTCTCCCCAACGTCCTCGTCATCCTCATCCCCATATTCATCCTGGTTCTGATGCTCCTCCTCCCTACCTGCTCTTCATAATCTGCCTCCGTTTCTCCTTGTATCCTCCTCCTCCTTGTCCTCCTCCTCCTCCTCCTCCCCCTTTTCCTCCTCCTCTTCCTCCTCCTCCTCCTCCTCCTCCGCCTCCTCCTCGTCCTCCCCCTCCTCCTCCTCCTCCTCCTCCTCCTCCTCCTCCTCCTCCTCCTCCTCCTCCTCCCTTCTCCTCCTCTTCCTCCTCTCCTCCTCCTCCTCCTCCTCCCCTCCTCCTTTTCCTCCTCCTCCTCCTCCTCCTCCTCCTCCTCGTCCTCCTCCTCGTCCTCCTCATCCTCGTCCCCCCTCCTCCTCCTCCTCCTCCTCCTCCTCCTCCTCCTCCGCCTCCTCCTCCTCCTCCTCCACAATTACTCAATGTGAATACTACTATCCCCCTTCCCCTGATGACGGGTTGGGAGTGTTCGCCCCCCCCCGCGTACTGTTTTTTTACACACAGGATTCCCCGGAGTTGGGTTTTCGCCTGCATTGTTTTGAGGCGCCGGCCTCATTTTCGGGCCCCGCTTGTTCCGAATCGTGTTCCCGCTGCAGCGCTGGCCTCATTTCCGTGTTCCCGCTCGTTCCGAATCGTGTTCCCGCTGCAGCGCTGGCCTCATTTCCGCGCTTCCGCTCGTTCCGAATCGTGCTCCCGTTGCAGCGTTGGCGTCATTTCCCGTGCCATGCCACGGCATACAATGCAATGCTAGGTTGCGCTCCACTGCGCGATGTCATGCCTTCAGCTGAAGCTGTGATATGCAGTGCGTAAGTGCCACGTCGTGCTAAGCCTGCTACGCTTTGATCTTCAACGCAAGGATATGCAATGGTATGTTCGGGGCCGCTGTGCGATGCCATGCTTTGCGTTGCAAAGCTTTGTGATGCAAATCTTCACTACGCCACGCCACGCCATGCTGTGACATACTACGCTTTGCGGTGCTCTTCTACGCCATGCCACGCCGCGCTCTACAATGCATCGCGTACCCTTTCGGGATCATTGCCCTGTTCGACATCCGAGTGTGCGAGTAGAAAGGGGATCTACGCCATGGTAAAGGATGGGAGGGAGGGGTAGGATGTTACATATGACGCGAGCGCACCTAGCTTGCCCCCCCCCCTCCTCCTCCTCCTCCTCCTCCTCCTCCTCTCCTCCTCCTCCTCCTCCTCCTCCTCCTCTCCTCCTCCTCCTCCTCCTCCTCCTCCTCCTCCTCCTCCTCCTCCTCCTCCTCCTCCTCCTCCTCCTTGTCCTCCTCCTCCTCCTCCTCCTCCTCCTCCTCCTCCTCCTCCTCCTCCTCCTCCTCCTCCTCCTCCTCCTCCTCCTCCTCCTCCTCCTCCTCTCCTCCTCCTCCTCCTCCTCCTCCTCCTCTCCTCCTCCTCCTCCTCCCTCCTCCTCCTCCTCCTCCTCCTCCACCTTCTCCCCCACATCGCTCTCCCCCCCTCTTCCTCCATCTCCCCCTCACTCTTCCGTCCCTGTGTTTTTCCTTTTCTTCCCCCGTGCCACCCTCCGCCCCTCACACAGCCTTGTCTGCCACGTCTTGGTGCAACGAAGAAAAGGAAGAGCGGGGAGGAGGGAACGGCCTTGTATTTTTCATATTTTCCACAATGGCGATGACCAGCCTAAAGACGCCAACCCAACGGGAAAAGTAAATGTTCCACGTGCATGTTGGTTGCGCGCGCGGGCGCGTGCGCGCGCAGGCCGCGCTAACTGAAAACGAATGGACATCACAGACAAAAAACAAAAACTACATGCTCAAAACCAACTGTTTCACTTTCATTCCGGGGCCGAACACATGATGATCGAGATTGAAGCTGCGTTTGTCTTATTGCGTGTCTAAAATAAGCCCGACTGGCCGTCAATGGGGGGCGTAAAGAAAAATTGCCAAAAGGACTGCTTGGTCGGATTCTCTGAATCTTCGGAAGACCCCAACCCCCATCATCGCAGCCCGCTGCGCCCGCCGACGCGTTTTTCTTACAAATTCTCTCCATGACGACCCACACCGGGCCCGTTCAGATGCCGCCTCGGAGGAGCGTCGAAAACAGATGGTCCCTTCCCCGGAGACACCTCTACAACTTGTTAGCCAAACCCGAAAGTTCTGGGAACAGTAAAAGACAAACCCACTGGTCCCCTGAGCCCTCCAGGGCCCCGAGCGCAAAGTCTCTCGCCTCGACGGGTTTCCGCAGGGGCGGCGCGGTATTTTTCCAGGCCCCGAGGGAGCCAGCAAGGGCCCCGACCGGCAACGAGAAGCCCCAGATGGCCAAGACGACCTCCAATGAGGCCCATCGGCGACCTGCGCTGCGCAGGGGTGAGGCGTCGGACTTCGCCGCGGGCTAGTGGATCACGATGATGATGATGAGGAGAAAGATAAGAAGAAGGAGGAAGAGGAGGAGCAGAAGGAGAAAGAAGAGCAGATGAAGAAGCAAAAAGAGGAGGAGGAGAAGGAAGAGGAGAAGGAAGAGGACGATGAGCAGGAGTACGAATAGTTGTTTGGTTCCAGCTCTGCTAGCAGAGCGATTTCAAACATGTAGATACTTGCAACGAGCGCCCCTGATGACATTTGTCCAATTCCTGTGCCGAACCTCTACTCGAGCTGCATCAAGAAAAGCATCGGCATCTCTGAAAAAAAGTCAGTTGAGTACGAATAGCTAGTTGGTTCCAACTGTGGGAGCAGACCGAGCTCGGGCATCTAGATCCGTGAGACAAGCGTTTCTGATTATGTCCTGTCGATTGCTGTGTCGAACAGCTCTGTAGCTCATCTGCACCTCGAGTTACATCACGAAACTCATCGTCATCTTTAAAAAAATAGCAGAGTACGAATAGTTTTTGTTTCGGACCCAGCTCTGGTAGAAGCCTGAGTTCGGGCATCTCGAAACTTCAAACTAGAGATGTTGGTGATCCTCTGCCGATCGCTGTGCCGAACAGCTCTGTGGCTCGTTTGCAGCTCGAGGTACATCCAGAAACTCATAAGCCTCTCTTGAAAATAGCAGAGTACGACTAGTTTTTCGGACCAAGCTCTGGTAGCAGACTCAGTTCGGACATCTAGATACTGGGACTAACGCGCCTCATGATTCTAGATGGATTAGGTGTGCCTGCCAGCTCTGTATCCCTTCTACAGCTCGAGTAAGTTTAGAAAACCAAGAGCACCTGTCAAGATGACACTCAACAGCCGATCCCGCCCAATGCTTTCTGGCAGTGATATGTATCCGATCAACCTGAGATTGAGATGGCGAGCGGGAATAAGATCGAATATGAGGAAATGAAACACTAGAGCTCTAACGAATGTTTCGAGATATCGAATCTAAACCAAGTAAAATTATGCAAAACATCCGTCGAGATTTTTTCGCCAACCAGCCCCCCAGCGCGCCGGAATTACTCTCTGGCTTCGCCGCTCCGCTCTCAGGGAGCTCTACGAGTCAACTAACATCCGTCGAGATTTTTGTGCTAACTAGCCCCCCAGCGCGCTGGAACTGGGAGCCGGCAGTAAGCCGTCAACCAGGTTACCGCCAGTGCCCTCGTCGAGCTCTTAACATACCAAATCAGTGCCCAGATAACAAGGGAAGAGCGCTCTCGAATGTGAGCTTGCAAAATCGCAATATGTATTTTTGCGGTTTTATATGCCGTCGGTTCCTCCCAATGTTTTGATCGAAAACGTGCCGTGATCGACTGCAGGGGATAAAAATCTGGATTCCCAAAACGAATGTTTGAATCTCTCACAATCTCCGCCCGGGCCGGGTGGGCCAACTGGGACCCGGCGGTAAACCAGGTTACCGCCGAGACCCGCGTAGAGCTCTCAACCCACAAAAACAAACCCAGATAACAAGAGAAGCGTTCTCGAATGTCAGCTTATGCTCGCAGAATGTACTTTTCGGATTTTGTGCGACGTCGGTTCCCAGATCTCTCCATCAAGATACTAAGAGTTGCACCATGATGCGCGCCAGAATCGACTGCAGGCAATGAAAAACTGCATTATGAAAACGATTCTTCGAATCTCTCACAATATTTGAAAGACTGACTCTAGGTTGCGTTATTCATCCCGGCGGGCGACGGTTCCAAATTTGCGAGAGCTGCTCGACAGCTAGAGCCTCATCTTCGAAACTGGGAGCCGGCGGTGAACCCTCTATCAGGCTACAGCCAGGACCCATAGAGCTCTCAACACGCGAATAAGTACCTAGACTGGAAGCCGGCGGCAAGCCGTCAACGGCTCTCATGGGGCAGCGAGCGGGCTCACGATGAGCCAAGAAAAGCTGCAACACTGCCGAGCCAGGATGGCTGAGGCATCTGAATCAAGGGCCTGCCGAGCCAATTGGCGCAAGCATCACCAAAAGAAGACACGCCAGAGAGACGGATCGCAGCGGCAAAACCGCCCCGACCCACCACCAGCCACACGCCTGTGCGGCCCCACTAACAGGGGCCCCGTCACGCCGTCACGCAACGTCAAGCACTCCAAACGAGGCCGAA